CTCTATAGGTTCTCAACATCTTTCTAGCAACCTTGTTGTCATCCCATTTGGTGCTTCCAAGAGCTCTTATGCAGTTGACCAATGCCATAAGCCTATCAAACATGGATTGTTTTGTTTTATTTTGCAAGAACACAAATCTTTCCAATTCACCATGAAGTAACTCAATGTTTCCTTTTCTCACACTCCTATCTCCTTCAAATGACACTTTTAAAGTATCCCAAATTTGCCTTGCACTCTCCATTCCATTCACCTTTCTAAACTCATCCAGAGCTAGGCTTAACACAAGCAATGCTACAGCTTGTGCATTTTGATGGAGATTGTGCACTTCTTCTAGAGTTATCTCTCTATCTTCATCGGTAGGAATCACCACACCAACATCCACAACTTCCCAAAGTCCTGTGGCATTGAGATGCATCTTCATCTTGTAAGACCAATCGGTGTATCTTGTTCCATCAAAGTTAGGTTGCTTGCCAATGTTGAAGGAAGGAGTACGTAGAGGAGAACCTTTGATGAGTTGTCCATACTCAAAGTTCATGTTTGAATATATTTCCTTTCCATGAGCATGCTCACCGGCTCTCCGGTCATATGATTGGCATCCACTATCCAACACCCAACTTGTTCCACCAGAGGAATATTCCTACAAAGACAAATCAAGCTTTTGTTTTAGGTATCCAAAAGGATTTGGGTCCTAGGGGGTTAGTCACATAAAACTTGGGCACCCAAACACTCCTCATAATTTCCTTCCTCTTTTGGGCACCAACATACTTGACCACAATCTTGTCATCCTTGCCCCAACAACACATATAGTCACTAGCATAGCACCGTGGAAGTAGTGCTTGTGGCTTGGGGGCCTCGGATTGCTTCGTCTTGATTGTCTTGTCACTTGTAGGTTGGATCTTGGGAATATAGACCTTGTTGTTGGCCTTGCATATAAGCTCATCAAGAGCAACGCCCTTGTTGAACTTCACACAAGGCACGCCATTGATCATGTTCCTTCATTTGCCTTTCCATCATACCTATTGTAGTCAATGCCTTCCTTGATTGATGGGTGCCTTGATGACTTGTATATAGTCTTGTTGGATTGCTCTGGACACTTGCACCCATTCTTCAAGATCATCTTCAACCTATGAATCTACTTGTTTTTCTTCTCTAACTCAACAAGGTTAGTTGCATATGCATTCACATCAATTTTATAGCATCTTTTACAACCATTACTAGTGGAGACATTAGAGTCTTCGGTTGCCTTAGGAGAAGTTGAAGTGCTAGCCCAAAGAGTACTATAGTTTAGCTCAAGATTTTGGTATTTTTCTTCCAAGCTTGTGAGGCTTTCTTGAGTTATACTCTTCTCATTCTTGAGGCTAGATACTTGATCATTAACCGAGGAATGTTCCTTAGTCAATTTCCCAATTGAGTCATTGGCTAAAGACAATTCTACGGTTAACTTCTCAACCTTCATCTTTTTCTCAGCGATAGATGCTTCAAGTGCAGTGTTTTTCTCTCTCTTGAGTGATTATATCTCCTTGCATCTCTAAGCATCTATCCCTCTTCTCTAATTTCTTCATTAGCGTTTTTATTTTAGTGAAGGCCTTTTTACAAAATTTCTTTATCATGGTTGCTTCAATTTCTTCTATGTTCTCATCACAACTATCATACTCATCACTAGAGGGATCGGTGTAACATGTACCTTCTCTCCCTTAGCCATGAGGCAAGTTGGAGTGTAGTAGTCGTTGTCGATGAGGTTGGAGAAGAGCTTCGGTGATGAAAATAGGTTGGGGAAGAGTTTTGGTGGTAAAGTCGAGTCGGAAAAAATCATGGTCGGTGAGGAAGAGTGGTGGATGGCGATGTTTGCGGCTCCCTTCTTCTTCTTCTCATCATCACTTGAGTCACTATCATTTGACTCCCACTCTTCACCAAGATGAGCTTCACCTCTCTTCTTGCCTTTGTTCTTCTTGTCTTCATACTTGTCGTGCTTGTGCTTCTTCTCATTAGGACAATCGGCTATGAAGTGACCGGTTTGACCACATCCATAGCAAAACCTCTTCTTGTACCTTCTCTTTTCGTCACCATATGTCTTGCGGTTGCTCTTCTTCTTCATAAACTTTCTAAGATTTCTAATCACAAATGCAACCTCCGCATTGGAATCTTCATCTCCACTTGAGGAATCATCCTTCACTTTCTTCTTCTTCTCTTGACTTGAACCTTGACCTTCATATTGTTGAGTTGCTTTAAGGGCTGCATTCTTGTTGTATCCCATTGCATTAGGATTTTGATTGTGAGCATTAATTGCATCTTCATCTAGATACTCATGATGCTTGAGGTTTGAAAGAACTTCTTGGGGTGTCATCTCATCATAACCGGGCCTTTCCATGATCACAGACGCTAGCATGTTGTTCTTGGCTCTATAGGTTCTCAACATCTTTCTAGCAACCTTGTTGTCATCCCATTTGGTGCTTCCAAGAGCTCTTATGCAGTTGACCAATGCCATAAGCCTATCAAACATGGATTGTGTTGTTTTATTTTGCAAGAACACAAATCTTTCCAATTCACCATGAAGTAACTCAATGTTTCCTTTTCCCACACTCCTATCTCCTTCAAATGACACTTTTAAAGTATCCCAAATTTGCCTTGCACTCTCCATTCCATTCACCTTTCTAAACTCATCCAGAGCTAGGCTTAACACAAGCAATGCTACAGCTTGTGCATTTTGATGGAGATTGTGCACTTCTTCTAGAGTTATCTCTCTATCTTCATCGGTAGGAATCACCACACCAACATCCACAACTTCCCAAAGTCTTGTGGCAATAAGATGCATCTTCATCTTGTAAGACCAATCGGTGTATCTTGTTCCATCAAAGTTAGGTTGCTTGCCAATGTTGAAGGAAGGAGTACGTAGAGGAGAACCTTTGATGAGTTGTCCATACTCAAAGTTCATGTTTGAATATATTTCCTTTCCATGAGCATGCTCACCGGCTCCAATATCACTAGCAGCATCTTTGTTTTCTTCATTCTTGCCACTTGTTGTATCATTCTTGCCACTTATTGCATCATCAACTTTCCTGCTCAATTCTTCCTTCATCTTGCTCATCTTATCTTGCATCTTCTTCATTTCATCTTGGAAGAACTTGACTTGAGCAGTCATCAACTCTTCAGCTATTTTCTTGGCCATCTCGGCGGCATTGGCTTGCATCTTGTCAGACTCCGACATTGTTTCTTCTCACGCGGTGAAGCGCTAAAAGAAGACCTTGATCTGATACTAGTTGAATGGATCTAACAATTCCTAGAGGGGGGTGAATAGACATATCTAAAAATTAACTACAAATGCTAAGTTCAAATTTGTCAGTCAATGTCGGAAGTCCCGACAGTTTGGGTCAGAACTCCTGACGTCGTCAGAAGTTCCGGCACAAACTGTCAGAAGTCCCGACGCCTACGTGAACTACAAAAGCAGTGCCAAATTTAACTTTGCGGATAAATAATCTTATAACCCCACTTCCTAGTGGTTTGGTGAAGATGTTGGGTCACTCCCTTGATGCCGAAATGCCTCCAAACCATAGTCGAGTCCAAACCCTAACATAAAGTTCGGGAGAGAGAGACAAACAAATATAAGCAATCTCGAGCAAACACAACAACAAGCACACGGGACACAAGAATTTATCCCGAGGTTCGGCAACCCCACAAAGGAGCTCCTACGTCCTCATTGTTGAGGTGACCACAAAGGTCGAAGTCTCTTTCACCTCCTTGACTCTCTCAAAGCAACCACAAAGGTCACTTGAGCTTTCCACTAAGAATCAAGGGTAATATAAACTTCCCAAGGCTCTTCCACAAGATGGAAGCTCTTGGGCAACGCCTAGCCGGCTAGGGGCAAAGCCCCAAGAGTAATAGACGCAAATCCAACTGGCTTGACGAACAAATCAAGTGCTCAAGCTTGCCAAAGTGATTCTCTCACTTAATCCACTCTTCTTTCACTCAAAACCCTAGGGGAATCGAAGATTGGAGCAAAGAGGAGAGGAGAGGAGTGCCGTGAATGCTTGGGAGTTGTTTTGGATGAAGGGTGAGCTGTGAATCAGTCAATTGCGGTTAGAAGTGAGGAGAGGGCTATTTATACTCACAGTAGAAATCTAATGTTCAGATCTACGTCGGAAGTTCCGACGCAGATCTCGGGACTTCTGACCTTAATAGAAAACATTGTTCACGTAGGGTCAAAGTCCTCACGAGCAAGTCAATGTTAGAACTCCCGACAAACGTCGGGACTCCCGACGGGCGCAGTCAGCCGGCTAGCAAAACCCCATGTGTCGGGACTCCTGACTTGGGTCGGGACTTCCGACAGCCACGGTCACCGCGCAGACTAAGTGACTAGGCATCAGGACTTCTGGCGTGAGTCGTGACTTCCGACGGTCGGGAGTTCCGGCTTACGTCGGGACTTCCGACACCAACAGTCACCGAAAAATATTCTACGTGCTCGTGGAGTGCTAGAGTTTCTCTCTTTTGATTTTATTTTTATGCTTGAGCACTCTATCTTCCTCAGACGAACTAAGTTTGCATCCCTCTTTATAGTGCGGCGGATCTTGAACTCAAAAACAAAATATAAAACCCTTGGAGAGCGCTTTGAGTTCGTCTACCTTTACAATTTCAAAAATCGAGGGATACCATTTCATCTTTATCAACTCTTTGAATCTTTTATGGGACTAATAGCGGTGACATATCTCATTAAGATCACATTAGTCCTTAATTTAGATGTCATCAATATACCAAAACCCACATAGGGGGCAAATGTACTTTCAAAGGGCTTCGTAGCTTATGGCCATGATTGATTTGTTGGTCCTTGTTTTTTTTTGTGTTTTTTTTCTGTTGTACTGGTCATGCCTTTCTAAGGGGTTGTTTTGATTTTCACTCTTTATTTTTCTTCTAAATATAATGATACGTACTTCTCTTATGTGTTCGAGAAAAAAATACTAGTCGCTACTTAGAGTAATAAAACGAACGGCTTTTCTGTCTATGCGCAGGCAAAGTTGGACCTGCCTTATATGCTTCCGCCGATAGAAGGTGATTTCTAGTCTTTTTTTACTTCTACTCTACTTCCAGCTGTTTCTTTTCCGGCGCACTCGCTAATAAATTAATTAATCACTGCAATTCCAGATGTGACGGTGGCCAAATTTATTGCACGCAAGCAATGGTTTGTGGCCGGAGATGAGGATGGTTACATTCATGTGTATTGCTACAGGGCAATGCAGCAACTCACGTATTTTCAAGCTGACGTACATGGCATAACGGACTTGGAAGTTCATCCAACCGAGTCATATGTCCTGTCAGCTTCTTTGTCCGAGGGAAATGTTAAGTTGTGGGACTGGGAAAAGGGCTGGGAATGCACTCGAATATTTAAGTTTGTTGACTTTGACCCTGTCTATGGAGTCACCTTTTTAAACATAAAGGATACGGATACTTTTGCAGTTCATGGCGGTGGCGGAATAATAAAGGTTTCAATCTTGTACCACTATTTTATCCAAAACTTTAGTCAATCTGGTAATATAGCCTTCTGACGGTCTATTTACCATCCTTCTTCAGATTTGCAGTCTTCGTTCTTCTGAATTCATATTGTCAGAATATAAAGATCCAGGTTTTATAGCTTGCTTCGATATCTTTGCTAATGGTGACCAGCTATACTTGATTACTGTTAACCCTGATGGGACTGTCAAGGTGTGGCATCTTTTCAGTAAGTACGATGTTGAACATACATATACGAAGCATTATTAATTATAGTCCATTTCTTCTGTTGACTCAGATTTGGAGCATGCACACACAGAATCTTGTTGAAACAGTCAAAGACGCACATTTTAGTCCAGTGAACGCAATCTGTTCCGATTCCGAGCATGCAGTACTAGTTACTGGTTCAGTTGATGGAACTGTTTGTCTATGGAACCCAAATACCCTCAGGTAAAAGCACATGACTACTGCTTGTAGGGGACATGCATCGGTGCAGCTTATATATACACGACGACCTGCAGGGCATCTGGGCATGTCAGCGGTCGTTAGAATAGAATATACTACATTCTACATATGTATAACTGTGTCTTCTTTATTGATCATCCTGTTGGAGTAGTATAGACGTATAGTGATTGTGGCATGTCCCGTACGTAACACAATTATTCAGTCGAACATCAAAACATTGTGCCGTGCCTTATCAGATTTTTTAGATAATAATAAAAACAGAGTTCCAGCTTTTTCCCATGATCCCATCTTCCTGTGCATACAACTTGATCATTGTTACAGTCTTCTAAGGAATGGTATAAAAGAATCAACGAACAGAAATATATGCTGTTTCTTTACTATCATGTCGTTTCTGCTAATTTACAATCATCATCTGTTCACTTTCGCTTAATACTATTTGAGTTTGAAGCTTAGTTTCATTGATTTCAACTAGGACAGTTTCAATCTTTTTACTACTGTGCACAACACGTGTTTCAATGTTTGCCCACTGATAACAAATACCGTATATGCCTTGTACTCTGCCAGGCCTGAGAGGACGTTTAACTTTGGCCTAGAACGTGTTAATGATGTAAAAGTATGTACGGATAGCTCAAGAAGGTATGCAAGAAAACAATCCCAGCTGATCTGTGTGGTTCGGTTGTCATGAGCATTGCTACACGCAGACCATCAAGTTATGGAAGCTGAAATTAAGTTACTATTTCCGTCTCAAAAGAAATTAACGTTAGGCCCCCTTTAGATCCTTGGAATTAACGTTAGGCCCCCTTTAGATCCTTGGCCTTGTTGCAGATGTAAAAGTATGTATGGATAGCTCAAGAAGGTATGCAAGAAAACAATCCCAGCTGGTCTGTGTGGTTCGGTTGTCATGAGCATTGCTACACACAGACCATCAAGTTATGGAAGCTAAAATAAATTACTATTTCCGTCCCAAAAGAAATTAATGTTATAGTTTTGCCCTAAACCAAAATATCTTAAATTCATAAAAATAATAATATTTATATTACCAAATAACCATTAGATTCATGGTTAGACATTTTTATACCTATTTGCTTTCATATTAATCTTTATGAATTGATCTCCATCAACCCGGACTATCCTAAAACACCCTTGAGACCCAAGTGGTAACTCTTAAGTAAATACTCCCTCCTTCCTAAAAATGTAATGGATTTCTAGTTGTCAAAAGTCAAACAATTCTATTTTTGACCAACTTCATAGAAAAAAGTATTTATGATATCAATTGAGCTTCATTATATACATCATGAAAAAATATTTTCATAATTTAGCCCATTGATGCAGTAGATGTTAATAATTTTATTTATAAACTTGGTCAAACTTAGGATGATTTATTAGCTTAGGACAGCTACAAATCACTTATATTACAGAATGGAGGAAATACATGCCAAAAACCTAGTGTATGTTACAAAAGGTAACTCCCTACATGGGCAATAATTATGCATTCTAGAGTGAGAAAATCCCTTACCTTTGTAAGAGCAATACCCCCAACAATCAATATTATAATTTTCAACATTGGGAAGCATGAGGAATGTCAAATTAAAAATAAGGAGACCCCTAGAGACCCACGACCGGGGGAAGGGAGTTGGCGACAGGTGATTTGGTGGTCTCCTGAAAGTATGACCTTGGTAGAAGTTTGTTGGAGTCCAATTTGGTTGCCTTAGCCCTTGAAAACAAAGTAGGGGCCTTGTTGTAATTGCTCTATCTCCTTGCATTGCCAATTGTGCATCATCAAGTGATAAATCCCTTACCTTTGTATTTGAACATGCACTCTCAAAAATTGCAAGATTGTGATTTTCAATATTGCAATGGTTGGTTATATCAGGCAACATTGTGCCCACTATTTACTAGTGTAAAGTATATATGCATGAGTTTACATAACATGTAGTACACTACTAGTACTTTATAAGACAAATTTACCTATATCTTCTTTCAAAACTCAAATCAACATGTTCAAAAATATATGAATGTAATGGCAACATTATTTTTGAATAGAGAGGGAGTATTAACTAAGAGGTCATGTTCGACAGGCAGTTTATAGGTTTGTTGTGTATCGGTATAAGCCAAGTGTTTGTACAGAATCAGTCACACAAATTATGCACTTTTTGTTTTAACAACATAGCTACAATTTTCTGACTAGGCAATAACGTCCTCTATTTCAAAGGAAAAACGCACTAGGCTTTTGTTAATCACGCCTCTTTATTTAGATTGTGCTCTTTGATCCCATATAAAACTTCTCATCAGCAACTTCTTAATCAGTTACAGGGTAGTAATTGCACACGAGAACGGATTGGCAATGATAGAAATGGACGGAAATGATCCAGTTGTTGCTAACACTGGAAGCAGCAGTAAAGTAGAAAATGATTTGGTCGGCTCAAGAAAAAGAAAACGACCAGAGGATGACCGGGCGGAGATCAAAAATGAAGAAAACGATTTTGTTGTCAGTGTCATGGACATTGGTAATGGGGCGAAGCAGACACAGGGCATTGGGCCAAGGGATGAAGAGGTAGCTGCATGCAGATGTGTCAACGCATCTTTTTCGTGTGGGTGCATCATACTGTATATGTTTGTGATGCTTGTATCCTTACCAATCTCTCTCTCTCTCTCTCTCTCTCTCTCTCTTCTTGTTGTAGATACATTCTGTCACGGATACTGGTAATGTGGCAGAGCAGATGCAGGGCAACGGACAGACGGATGAAGAGGTACCTGCATGCAGACGCGTGTCAGCACATCTTTTTCGTGGGTGCATTGTGATGCCTGTATCCTTACCGATCTTTTTTTTTCTCTCTTCTTGTAGATGAACTCTGTCTCCAGTAAGCTGCTCGGCGTTTACCCCGGGAAGCTTCAGCTACCATTTAAGGCCAATCAGCTGACCTCTTGTTCACTAAAGCTGACTAACACGACAGATGACCACGTTGCTGTTAGGCTTCTGACAAAGTGCCCCAAGAGGTACATAGCAAAGATGCCACTCTGTTGCATCGTGCCGCCAAAGTGCATCTACACACTCATAGTGACAGTTAGCGATCAGAAGAAGAGATCCCAGCTGAGCAGTGACGAGTTTCTCACCCTAGAGAGCACCATTTGCTTGGAACAAGATATTGTTGGGCTGCAGAATGCTAATCTAAACTCAGAAGCCATCGAGTTTAGCAATTTTTTTAAACAAGCGAAAGACATGGCAGCTGATAAGGTGTATGCGCTAAAGTTAAGTGTTGTTTCTAACCCACTAAAAGAGACAACCTCTGTTAAGGTAAACACTTCCACTATTTATGTAATGTATGTATATATGTTGCATCTAACTAATGTATCGCATTGTATTTTTTCTCTTTTAATGGTGGTCATGTGGTAGCAGCAACAGCCAGAGGTCGAGGTAATTTGCCTCCATTTGTTTCAACCATTGCCTCTTCGTTATAACTGTTGACATTTTTCACCAATTAATGTTGCTCTGTGTTTCGGTTGAATCAGGTTGTATCCAATAGGAAGTTTTCACATGTGCTGTCTCTAGACGCACATCCGACGGAACCATGGTTAGCTCCTGCCTTACAACATAGCGCTTGAAATGATTTATGAAGTCTTTTTTCACATTTAATGTTTTCTTTCTGCAATGCAGGATACTGACGACCAATCAAGCAGGAGAGGTTGCTATTTGGGACTACCAAGTGCAGGTAGCTTGCTGCTCCATCTCATCCTGTACAATGGTAACAAATTCTGTTTTCAATTGGTTACAGTGAATATGCTCATTTATGTGCAGGCCATAGCTAAATCCTTTGACTTCACACAGAGACCAGGTATCCTTTCTGGCATTACTATTTCCATTTATTATTTTTCTTTTTAGAAAAAAGAGAGAAGAAACACGCAGGATTCTGCCTTTCTCATATTAAATTAATAAATAAAGGAGTCAAAGAAATAAGAAAAACATTTTAGTTCATTAACATTCCATCACAAACAAACATATGTATAATATTATCGTGTTGCAAATACAGTTTACTCTGCTAAATTCATTGCGCGAGAGGAATGGATTGTCGCTGGCGATGGCTATGGGATGATCTATGTATACAATTACCATACAAAGGAAGAAGTTACAAGCATCGAAGCTCATGATAGTGATATCACGTCTTTGGATGTGCATCCCACTGATCCTCTTGTGCTCTCTTCGTCCGAGGATCACCTGATAAAGCTCTGGAACTGGCGGAAGAAGAACTGGAAGTGTATTCGAACGTTTGAGGGACACTCCGACAGAGTAAAACACATAAATTTTAACCTAATGGACACCAACAGTTTTGCAACTGCATCTTTGGATCACACAATCAAGGTTTGACTTCAATTTTGATCTTATCTACAAAACAAGGTTTTCCTACATAATTAGTGCTATGCACAAAAGAAATATTACTAAATTCAATCCTTGGAGACATAAAACAGATTGTTCTTTGCTATGCTCTGCAGATCTGGAACATTTCTTCTCCTGAGAGCAAAATTACAATGTCTGATCACCCGGACGGGCTGCTTTGTGTTCACAGTTACACAATTGATATGAGGCAATATTTGATCGCCGGATCATGGGATGGGACTGCACAAGTATAGCATCTTTACTGAAGAATACACTCACTATGCTGTTTGGCATAAACGATACACAGTACTTCACTGACACCCTCTTTGCTAATTAGATATGGGACATGCAGACGGGAAGACTTGTTCAAACGCTCAAAGGGCATGTACGTCATATTAGTTGTGTCTACCATCACCCAGAACTTCCTGTAGTAATCACAGGTTCACATGATGGGACTGTTCGTTTATGGAACTCCACTACCTACAGGTACATTGAAATGCTTGTTTTCTGTCATTTTATTGGATGGTTCTAGAAAGACCCTTCAGCAATACTTCTGCTCTATACATGTTGCTTAGGTGTTTAGTTTGTAATATGTACCTCTAAGTAGTTAGTGAAAGATTGGGAGTTTTTTCTTACAACTTTAGTAGTTTCACTTGTGTGATGACAGGCGACAGACCAAAGAACATGCAAAAACTAACTTCTTATGACAGATATATTTATAGAAATTAAAATATTGTGTGTTATCTAGATGTACAATTTCGCAAACCATGGATCTTAATATGGTGCATATAGTTGGTATTAACCTTGGTGGTTGGTATTAACAATCCCAAAGTTGCAAATTCGTTTTTGTAGTTTTCATAACAGCTATCTTTTTCATCTTGCAGGCTCAAAAGTATAGTTGGTATTAACCTTGGTGTAGTTCATGCTCTTGAATATATCAAAGACTTAAGAAGGTAATGGATTGTTTTAGTTTCTTTTATAAAACTATATATCACTAATTGAAATGAAAAATAAATTTAATGCTTTCTACATTTGTGCAATGCTTCAACAACTTCATATTGTAGTATTGCTTGACACCTCATTAAAATCAGTACATATGTTTGTAACATTATGATAGAAATATTCACAAGGTATGAATGGCTAGGATTACAAACATTAATAAAATATGCTTTGATGTATCATTTTTTTCAAAGAGAGTATCTATGAACTAAAACTTTCAATCATATTTTCGAAGGAACTATGAAATGATAATGTTATGACCCACAACACTCGTGCAGTTAAAACCACTGAATTAAACAAGAAAATTTGTCAATTTTTGCAAAATTGTATGTTTGTATTCTTTTTTATTCGACAAATTTAGTGAAGGTTCTAGTGTGAAATCATATGTGCGCCCAGTTAAAGTCCTAGACTCTATAGTAGTACCTACCTTCCCAGGAATTTTAATTCCATTTTGTATGCATATAGTGTTCTTTGTGTTAAAGCATCTGACTTATTATTTCTCTGAGAAAAGACAAACAATATTTGATTATTAATTGACTTGTTTTTGGCTAGAAACTATGCAAGAAGAATGAACTATTTGCACCAAAAGTTGCTCTAAAAAGAGGTTAAGACTGCCACATGCCATTGCAAAACGGTTGCTAACACATAGCCTTAGAAGGTACCCAGTTAACCTAATTTTGTGTAACACCATACATCCAAATTTTGCTTTGAGGCTAACCCTGCATACATATAGTATTCCTCTTATATTTTCATCCTAACTTCATAGAAAAGTGTTAATTTGAATATGGTGCATTTGTAACGACATCGATCATAAACCAGCTAGTACCTATTTAGACAACCAAATTACCACTATTCGTCTCACCATACTAGAACATTTGTGTGATACATGATAAGACGAGAGTAATAATAGTCTACATACACAATATGCTTGTTAGCTGTTCATCTTTTAATTGGTTGTAAGATTGTTCAAACTTGTAGTACCGTCATATACTCCAATTTATCATGAATATTTGGCTTGCATAATGTTCATGCAATGAAGTGTATATTAACTATGTGCAGGATTGTGGTTGGTTGTCACCAAGGAATAGCCATTATGGGATTGAACTACAGTTAAGACCATCCTATGTGAAGAAGATGGCAGAGATAATAACTGTTGTGACGCAAATACTATTAGTTTTGTTAGTGTTTATTGCGGAGAAGTACTTATGGCGTGACAATCAATGTATAACATAATTTTATTTGAGTGGTGGGTGTGGTTTTCTTTTTTCTTCTGATTTTTTGTGTGGTTAAAGAGGTATCTATCTCTAGTGTTATAGTAAGGAGATTTTTTTCGCTCACCACGCGTTATGCACATTGAACCAGTGAAAAACTTTCCAAAAAAACCATGTGTCTTTTCCTCTAACTAGATTCTAGACATTTGAGCTGGCTGTGAACCGTTATGTCCAAATTGGAGCCGGTCGCATGGCCACTCGATGAGCACTCGACAGTGGAAAAAAGTAAAAACAATATAAGATTGCATGGCCATGTCTGAATTAAAGCCGACTGCATGCCCGCTCGATCACTACTGGAATCTCGCATTGTTCTGTGTGTGCGAAAACACACAGAAAAATGCAAATACCGTCAGAAAAATATTTTTCTGACGGTGTACCCTCAGAAAAATATCCACAGAAATATAATAACAGAAAAATTCAATTGTTCTATGTGTTCGCCGTCAGAAACAATTTTTCTGTGGGTGTTACACGCACAGAAAAATTACGTTAGCCCAGATTAAATTTAAATGTTGTGTGCGTTGATCCTCACAGAAAAAAAAAAGAAAAGCCCGATAGGAAAATAATTTTTCTGTGGGTGTTACACACACAGAAAAATTGCGTTAGCCATATTAAATTTAAATGTTGTGTCGGTCTCGGTTAACGCACAGAAAAATAACAGACCACCGACAGAAAAACCCTTAACCATGCAGCAAATTGGATACAATAATTATATAGAAACAGAACAGTAGCAACAACATATTAAATATAGACTGTCCATACTGTAATTTCATCACAACATAATCAAATTAACAAACATTGATTCATTCATGTATTAGCAAGTCAGATGCCTTTACATAGATATAGCACATACACAGATAGTTCAATGGCCAACAAAAGGTATTGTATGTCTTTACAACAAGCCATTTGATGACGATATATGTAGTAGCTACACGCATAACCATTCATCTCCAATCACTCTCTGCATAGATTTGTCAATGTAGTCTCTATATAACCGGTGCAAACATTCCATAATTGTCCTTGTCTTCCGGATAATGCCTGCAAAATAGAAGGATTAGATGCTATGGCATATCATCATCTAACAGAAAATGATGCAAATCAAGCAATGAAATTCTCGAACTTCTAACATTTGGGGTGAACCATAAAAAATAACATGTATATATATGATACAAGACAACCATATTATCATCATCTGATAGAAAATGATGCAAATCAAGCAATGGAATTCTCAAACTTTCAGCATCTGGGGTGAACCATAAAAAATGACATGTATATATATGATACAAGGCAGCCATATTATTGTGCTACAATTGACTAGAAGATGAGTTTGTACTAGTAAACAGCTAGTATCCAATACACAAACACAGCTCCTTAATATGAATGCTTCAGTCATGCGAGAAAACTGAAGAATGAGAAAGGATATTCTCACCTAAGCAGATAGGGCACTGAACCTCCTTCCATATCTCTTCTAATTTCACTAGCATAATGTCGATGTTTTACCACCGATAGCCTGCCACAGGGGTACCGTGGCAGTATCGTTCGGGCTTCGGCGTATGCTGAACTCGATGGTAAACGCAAGAGACAGACGATTTATCCTGGTTCAGGCCCTCGATCGTAGATCGAGTAACAACCCTACGTCCAGTCGGCGTTGGCCTTTTGCGTTGGATTGATTATGAAGTGTTATGTTGTACCATTGTTGTCCTCTCTTTCAGGAGCCCTGCCCTCCTTTATATTGTCAGGAGGCCAGAGTCCTAGTCGGTTTACAATGAGATTTCCTAGTAGGATTATTTAATAGTTCTACTATTTAAGATTACATGGAAAGAATCCTAGTTGAACTAGATCTTTTATCTCTCTTGCGGGGTATCCTGTAGGTCCCGCATCGACAAGCCCCCGAGCACTTCATGGTTGAGCTGTGAAAGTCTCGCTTTGCTCCTTCAGGTCTTGTTAGGTAGGAACAAAATGTTATCCGAGTGCTTTCTGGAGTGAAACCTTGTAGCGCTTCTTGGGACCTTCGAGTGGTGAGTGTTTTGTGAAGAAAAAGTACATCCATCTGGTTGTAGCCCCCGAGCCTCTTGCTATTTGGAACAAGGAGCTGGAGGATCTTTTCTTGAAGTTGCTCTGATTGTCCGCTGAAGTTTTGTCAAAAAGAACTCGAATATGGCTCGTTCCGGGTTCTTTTTGTCGCAATGTCTTGAAGTGGTCTGCGTTGAGGAAGTCTTTTGGTGACGTGCGCTTTTTCGGAGAAAAAGGGCACTCACTGAGTGTAGCCCCCGAGCCTCTTGCTATTTGGAACAAAAAGTTGGAGGGTCTTGATCCTTTATGTTGTTTGAAAATCTGTGTTCTGAAGTAGTCCCCGAGACTTGAATTTTGTCATCATCCGAGTAGTTTTTGTGGTATCTTTCCGAAGCGGCCCTTTAGTCTTGGATTAAACCATCATCCGAGTAGTTTCTGTGGTATCTTTCCGAAGCGGCCCTTTAGTCTTGGGTTAAACCATCATCCGAGTAGTTTCTGTGGTGTCTTTTCGAAACGGCCCTTTAGTCTTGGATTAAACCATCATCCGAGTAGTTTCGCGGTGTGCAGCCTCCGAGCCTATGTCCGGGCTCTTTTTTGGTGGGTGCAATTTTTCATAAAAATTGCACTCACTGAGTGTAGCCCCCGAGCCTCTTGCTTTTGCTTGCAAAAGTTAGAGGGTCCAGATTCCTGTCTTCAAAAAATTCTGGGGCTATGTATCCCGCAGCCTCGTGCTTTCTCCGAGTTCTTTTCTTTTGGAAAAGAAGTCGGATGAAGAGTCTTGATGCATCGTCGTCGTTGTAGTCTTGAGTTTCTTGTACTTTTTGTCTTTTGTCTTTGGTTCTGAGCCCCCGGGAGTAGTTGAAATGAGGGCCGAACTCCCTAGCTTAGTGTTGATTAAGCTATGATGCTGGCCGAGCCCCCGAGCGTATATCCGTGTTGTTTTGTTCAGGAAGAACTCGGATGCGAGGTCTTGGCGTATTCTTTGATAGTCTGCTGCTGTCAGATGTAGTTGTATGGTGGTGGTTGAGTGTAAATGCCTTTTATTCACGGGTTGTACTGTGATGGTATATTCTTTCGAATATGCCCGTCTTCGAGTACTGTTTCCTTTCGCCTGAGTCGTCCATTATTGAGTCCTGTCCTTTCACTGTGTCCTTTGTCAGGCTTGTTTCGTTGGTACTCCTAGTCCATGTGCGTCGCTCCTTTGGTCTATAAATACAGTCCCGGAGTGCTTGTTTTCATCTATTGGATATTCCATTGAAACCTTCGTGGTCATGAACATGGTAGTTTGTGAAGTAGAGCAGCCCCCGGGCATATTTTGTAGTTCCTGTGTGTCTTGTCGTAGCTGGAGGAAGTCTTGTGATAGGGATTAGAGGTAGGCTAATCCCGCGACAGCATTGTGCCAGGATGTATGTGGTGGTAGTTGGAGGAAGTCTTGTGATGTGGGCTTCGTTTCTTCATCTGGCAGTTCTGGGTTGATCCTCGTCGCCTGTCTTGAGACTATCCGGTGCAGATCAACACCATATGCAGTATCACATCGGTCTTGGGTAGACAGATGCCCGCCGGCCTTCTCTGCTCCATGTTGTCCTGCCATGCTGCCGATTTCCACCTTGAGTGCACTGCGTCCTTCCTTTGAAGAAAACAGTGTAGCTGATGGCGGTTTGTCCTTCCGAGTAGCAATTTGGGACACATAGTCGTTCCAGAGCCTAGCCATATCCGCGTTCCTCTTTGCTACCTTGCTTTTCGTGGTGCCGAGTTTGTTGGGTCTTGTAAGATTTGTAATCTTCTATTTTTGAAGTCGCTTGTAATGTAACGAATCTTGTCTTTAAGATTTGTAATCTTCTGCTGTCTTCTGAGTTGTCTTTTACTTTTCTGTTGTGATCCCTGTTGTTCATGAGATTACCGAGTTCTTTCTTTGAATAACCGGGTTCTTTTGTTCCTTGTGCGGTAGTCCTTTCTTTCTTCTTTCTTTCTTCTTGTTTTGATGATTTGTTCTTGTAGCGATCTGATAACCCTGCCGTGGTGCTGGACGGATAAGTCTGAAATCTACCCGTTGGTTTGTACTGTTGTGTGGATTTGTGCCCTCCATCGTTTTAGCTGCGTCGGTAAATGGACCGTTGCGTTCCCACACTGTGTTTTATCGGGCCTTGTGGGCCGTTTGTATCACTGAGAAATCTATTTAAAGACCCTTGCTGCCCAGCTCTTGCCTTTAAACCCTAGCTTTCAGAAATCCACCGCCGCCATCGTCGCCGTCTCCCGAGCACCATCATCCCAGCTTCATCTTCCTTAGTGCCTTTTTTGCTTCCGCCAGTTCATGGGAAAGAAGAAAACCGCAAGCAAGTCTCAAAGCGACCTTCAGAGATGAGGAGTCATCCTTTCTTTGATCGAAAACCAGGAGTTCGTGGCTATGAGGGCTGCTTTCGGAAGGTTTGGCGGCTCCAACAACAAGCGAAGACCAGTCTTGCGAGCTCGTTAGCGATGGCTTGATCCAAAGCAAAGTCATCGCTGAATGGAGAGTTCCGGCGAGTATCGGGTTCCAGCTCCGGTCCCGTGAGATTGTCCTTTTCGTTTCCTTTGTCCGCTACTGGACTTTGCCTTCCCGCTTCGCTTTCCTTCATCAGTTTCTTGGTTATTTCAGGATTAGTCTGAACCACCTAACCCCCAATGCCATTCTCCATCTTTCTATTTTCATTCATCTTTGCGAAGCTTTCCTTGGAATCCCTCCTTCTCTGTCTCTTTTTCGCTTTTTCTTTCGTCTGAAACCTCAACCCCGCCGTGAAGAAACCAGCGTTCTTGGCGGTTGCGGGATTCAGTTTCGTCAGGGTCTCAAAATTAA